ATGGAAGAAATAAGTAAACTTAAAAAAATAAATAGGGGTTAGTGTGTGGTGTGGTAGTTAAGGTACTGGACTCCCACATGACTGACTACAGTTCCAGTCTTGGACAGGTGACTTAAAAATCATCCTGGAGGGACCAGCAGTTGGCGTAATGTCACTTTCACTGCACTCCCACATTGATGACCACAGTTTGAGTCCTAGACCCGGTGTCTTGAACAATCACGCTGGGCACATGTGCATGCGTGTCCAAAATTCCGAGAGAAAAATGGAGGAGAAGGGATTGCAGCGTGGCCATCCCCCCTGGGGGGTGATTTCTCGCTTTCTGTCTCTCTGTCTCTCTCTGTCTGTCTGGCGAGCGCACACACCCTATAGCAAAAACCTCTCAAAAAAAAAATATCATGTTGAGCAGGGCTAGCAGATGGCATGATAATTAAGGCAATGCACTCCCACATTGATGACCACAGTTTGAGTCCTAGACCCGGTGTCTTGAACAATCACGCTGGGCACATGTGCATGCGTGTCCAAAATTCCGAGAGAAAAATGGAGGAGAAGGGATTGTAGTGTGGTCATCCCCTCTGGGGGATGATTTATTTATCACTTTCCTCTTTTTTTCTCTCTCTCTGTCTCTTTCCAGTGAGTGCATATACCCTATGACACCCCCCCCCCAAAAAAAAACACTTAAAAAAAGAAAAGGAAATCATGCCAGGCATGTGGGTGTGCATGCCCAAAATCCCAAGAGAAAAATGGAGAAAAAAGGATTGCAGCATGGCCATCCTTGGGATGGGGTTCAGGGTGTGGTGGTTTCCTCACTTTCTTTATCTCTGTCTCTCTCCAGTGAGTGCACATGCCCTATGGCAACAACCTTGATAAAACCTTACAAATAAACAAGCAAGCAAGCAAGTAAGCAAGCTAACGTGTTGAATAAGTAGCAGTGTTGAGAAATCACCCCCCACAACCCCTTCCCACAGTTCTTTCTTCTCCATTTATCCTCTTGGAAATTTGGACACACAGATACACATGCACCTGGCATGTTTTTTAAGCCATAGAGTCTAGGACTCAAACCATGCAGTCAGTCATGTGGGATCCAGCCACCTTAACTCTCAACATTGCCTTCTAGACTGTGTATTTGGGATTTGAACGTTGGCAGTTGGTATCTGTCATCTATTCTCTTAATTTTTTTTTTAAATTTATTATAGTACATGTGTGCTCGTCAGAGAAAGTGAGAGATCACTCCCAGGGGGTTGATGGCCACACTACAATTTCTTCTCCATTCTTCTCTCAAGATTTTTGGCAAGCATGCACATGCTCCCAGTGTGTTTTTCAAGTTGCCGGGTCTGGGACTTCCATGCAGTCAGCCATATGAGATCCAGCCACCTTAACCACTATGCCACTGGTGGCTCCTATACCGTTAATCTTGACCAGTAAGGAAGAGGGTAAACGACAGAGTACCACTTGTAGTTATTGATGTTCCTGGAAGTCCAATGTGCAGCCATGCCTAATGGGAAATGCTGTCCTGCTGTGCCACATAGACCAGCCCTCAGGGCCAGAAACACCCAAGAGAGGGGGGCAAACCAGAACTCAGGGTAGACGTGAAATTCCCAGATTTGACTTCAAGAGGGCAAAAGCCCTAAGTAGATGCTAGATCCTTATTCCAGGTTTTGAAGGCTTAGAGCCTGCCCTTGAAGTCCTTTAGAGGACTTCACTTAGAGTCAGCAGGGGCCTAGAAAGGAAGAACATTGACTTACGCTCCTCTGGTCATCCTGCTACTCTTTAAACTGCCTTCTTGAAGTTTCCAAGGCAGCAGTGGGTAGTTCTGGGATAGGTTTCTGGCAGTAGTTTTGTCCCAGGATGCTGAATTGAAGGCATCAAGTGTTTTCAGTCTTTTTTTTTTTTTTTTTTTTAAGGAATTATTTATTTATTTAATTCCATTTGGTGGCTTTTTTTTTGGGGGGGGGATATGGAGAGGTTTTTGCTATAGGACGTGTGCACTCACCAGAAAGACAGAGACAGAAAGCGAGAAATCACCCCCCCCCCCGGGGGTGGGGGATGGCCATGCTGCAATCCCTTCTCCTTCATTCTCCTCTTGGGATCTTGGGCATGCACGCACACACGCCCAGCGTGAGTTTAAGCCACCGGGTCCGTGACTAGAACCATGATCGACTACATGGGAGTCCAGCAACATAGCCAGTTGCTGGTCCCTCCATTTGTTATTACTACTGTTATTTTTTAATTTGACCAGAGAGAGACAGAGAAAGGGAAAGCAAGAAAACAAGCTGTCAGGTCCAGGACTCGCACATGTGGTCAGCCATGTAGGAATCCAGCACCTTTAACCACCACGCCACCTGACAACCCCACCAAGTGTTCTTTGAGAGAACCAAGTCAAGGCTATAGACAGGAGTTAGACCAGACTCTTTAAACAGTTTTATTGAGATATAAGTCACAAACCATACAATTCACTTTATAGTGTATGGGGTGCAGGGCCAGCAGGTGGCTTGGTAAAAGCACTGGACCCCCATATTGCTGGCCACGGTTTGAGTCCCAGACCTGGCAGCTTGCTTTCTCACCTTCTCTCTATCTCTCTCTCTGTCTCTCTAGTAAGTGTGCATGCCCTGTACCAAATTTAATAATAATAATTAATAAAATATTTTAAAAGAATTACTGTATTTAAATTATTTTAATTTGACCAGAGAGGAACAGAGTGTGAGAGAGAGAGAGGGAAAGTGGTAAAGCAAACCACCGGGTCCAGGACTCAAACCGTGATCAGTCCATGTGGGAGTCCAGTGCCCTTAACCACCACACCACTTTCAGGCCCCAGTAAAATAGATCTTTTAAAAATAATAAAGTGTATGAGCGAGAGTGACTTTTATTCAGAGTTGTGTATTCAGTACCACAATTAATTTTACAACATTCTCTCGTTATCCCAGAACCCTTGGTTGTCTTCTTCAAATCCCCCTCACCCTTCTTAGCCCTAGGTAATTATTAATTTACTTTCTTTCTCTATACATTTGCCTGTTGGGGACATTTCATTTTTTTGGAGAGATTTTTTGCTATAGGGTGCGTATGCTCGCCAGACAAACAGAGAGAGGCAGAAAGCAAGAAATCACCCCCCAGGGGGGATGGCCACACCGTAATCCCTTCTCCTCCATTCTCCTCTTGGGATCTTGGGCACACACGCACCCGGCATGAGTTTAAGCCACCGGGTCCAGGACTCGAACCATGGTCGACTACGTGGAAGTCCAGCGACATAGCCATTATGCTAACTGCTGGTCCCTGTTTTGGACATTTCATTTAAATGGAATCATACAATATGTGGTCCTGCATGACCAGCTTTGTTCACTTAACATGATATGGGAGCCAGCAGGTGACATGGTGGTTAAGGTGTTGGACTCTCACATGCCTGGCCATCTTTCAAATCCAAGACCTGGCAGCTTGCTTTCCCACTTTCCCTTTCTCTATCCCTTTGTCTCTCTCTGGTCAAATTAAAATATAATAACAGGAAATAGAATTAAATAAATAAATCATTCTTTAAAAAAAAACATAATGGTCTCAAAGTTCTTCTTGTTACAGTGTGTATCAGTACTTTATTTCTTTTTCATGTCTTTTTATTGTCAACTAATATTCCATTGTATGAAAATTCCACATTGTTTATCCACTCAGCAATAGATGGACATTTGAGCTGTTTCCATTTGTTGCTATTACATTATGCTGCTATGAACAGGTTTTGTGTTTTTGCTTATTTTGGTATATGCCTAGGAGAGGAATTGCTGGATCACTTAGGCACTTTGTGTTTAGCTCTTGGAGGAATGTACAAGTCTTCAAGTGGACATTTTATTTTTTGAGAGGTTTTTGCTATAGGGCACGTGCACTCGCCAGACAGACAGAGAGAGACAGAGAGACAGAAAGCAGGAAATCACCCCCCAGGGCGGATGGCCACACCACAATCCCTTCTCCTCCGTACTCCTCTCGGGATCTTGGGCACGCACGCACACACACACGCCCTGTGTGAGTTTAAGCCACCGGGTCCAGGACTCGAACTGCGTTCGACTACGTGGGAGTCCAGCGACATAGCCATTATGCTAACTGCTGGTCCCGTCAAGTGGACATATGTTTTTGTTGGACCATACCCTTCCTGTGCAGTGTTTGTATACCTGTTCAGTGTTGGTTGTTTTAAGTTCTTTCTCACACGGTTAGTTGAGTTTGGAATATCTAAAGAGGGTGAAGGAGGGCAGACTGCTGCTTTGCCCAGACCCAGTCTTTCTGTTCATTCATTGTACAAGTATTCACTGAGCATCTACCATGAGCCAGTCTGTTTAGATGCCAGGTTATATCAATAAAAGATATATACCTTTCTTCATGGAAGAGATAACAAATGCAAAGTAATAAGTAATAAAAGTTAACATAGGGTGCTTGACGGACCTCTCCATGTATGCTGGGTACAAGTATGGAAGGAAGCATGTGTGGGCTCACAATCTGGGTCGGCTCAGGGTAGATTACAATGTCAAGATCCTATCAGGAGTGCTATGTTTCTCTAATTGAATAACTAGATGAACTTTTTTTAAAAGTTAAAGTGGTGGGTGGCAACAGGACACTGAAGCGATTCTGACCCTGTTGCTTCTGTGACTTTGAGATGCAGCCTTCTCACAGTGTGGTTGGGGAGCAGGGATGGCAGTAGGCACCTGGACCTCCCACATGAGGTCAAGGAGCTAAATATTTAGGGTTATTAATGGGGATTGGTGGAGCCAGTGATGGAACAGCTCTGGTACTAAGCTCTGATACCCATAAGATCTTGTACTGGCCCTTATGCTGTACTCTTTGGGGCTGTCTTCTCACCCCTCTGTCTTCTTGTGTTTTCCTCCTTATGATTCTTGCCTGCCAGCCCCCTAGAGTCTGCCCCTATACCCCAGTCTTTTACTTTTTTTTTTTTTTTTGCAAAGAGTTAAAAGCAGGGGTTTTAGGTAATTGTCAGGACAACATGTAAAGGTGTGTCTGTTTCCACCCTGCAGCCCACATTGGGACACCTTGATTCCAAGCCCAGCAGTAAGTCCAACATGCTACGGGGCCGCAACTCAGCCACTTCTGCTGATGAACAACCCCATATTGGCAACTACCGGCTCCTCAAGACCATTGGCAAGGGTAACTTTGCTAAGGTGAAGTTGGCCCGGCATATCCTGACTGGGAAAGAGGTGAGTGCTAGGGTTGAGAATACGGTAGAAGCTCCCAGCCCTGTTGACATGCCAGCAAGTAGTGGTGGACTGTATCAGTAGCCAGACTCTTGTTCAGTCAAGCAGAAATGAGTTCTGAGCATAGGGATGTGAAGAGCAGTGGGATGAAAAGGAGTAGAATATATAAATGAAGAAGTAGATTTGAGTCCCACATTTAGTCTGGTCAGAGGTGATCTTGGTTTCCTTTTTTTTTTTTTTTTTTTTTTTTTTATTTTGTGCGGGGAGGTGAGGATCATCTTCA